AGCAGGGAATATCGCCTCAGATTCCAGTATTTTGGTCTGACATGCTGTGACATTTCTAAAGTAACCAAAGATATAGAAAATATTAAATAACTTAATATTTTTAGATGGTTTTACAGGTGTAGAGTGGCTCGAATCAATAAAGACATTTAGTATGAGTGAATCTCAAACCTGTGAAACACGTGATGTCCCACCAAGCTATTCCCACAAAGTTGGGAGCATGAAATGTCCAGAATGTCTCAGTATGCTGAAGCATTAAGAGTTCCTTTCACTTGCACAGTTCACTCTTGAAAAAACAACCTCACACACAAAGCAGTCAGACAAAAAAGTTGACTCTGTGACGATGCAGCAGCTGTTTTGTATCCAGTATGGAGGAAACGTCAAACGGACAGAAATAAACTTCACAAAATATCTTCTGTAAATACTTTTTACATGTTGTGCACTCCTGGTGTTCCCCACAGTCTCCCACTCAACTTCCAACCTGGTCAAACCTGTTTTACTTCCAACATTAGTCAGGACCAGGCAGGGTGAGGCCTAAAAATAAGATTTTCATGTTGTCATACACTGAATGTCCATCCATCCATTCGCTTCCACTTCTCCTTTTCAGGGTAGCGGGGGGCGCTGGAGCCTATCCCAGCCGTCATAGGGCGAGAGGCGGGGTACACCCTGGACAGGTCGCCAGTCTGTCGCAGGGCTAACACACAGGGACAGACAACCATTCACACTCATTCGCACATTCACACCTAGTGGCAATTTGGATTATCCAATTAACCTATCCCCACAAGCTGCATGTCTTTGGACGGTGGGAGGAAGCCGGAGTACCCGGAGGGAACCCACGCAAACACGGGGAGAACATGCAAACTCCACACAGAAAGACCCCGGCCTGATGGTGGAATTGAACTCAGGACCTTCTTGCTGTGCGGCTACAGTGCTAACCACCGTGCTGCCTTACACTGAATGTGTAAACTTATTTTTATGACTGCTGTGTAATAAAGTGAAAACTTTTCAGCTCTGATTTCAAAACCCAAAGGATTTCAGTTATGCTTTCTAGATATGAACTTTCTAAAGCTGACTAACAGTTGATGTTCCTCTTTTTTAAACAGTCTTACACAGAGGGTAAAAAAATATACCACTTACAGTTTCCACTTTAACAAACACAGGAGTGTGAAAAATGTCAAGTTCCTCCTTCAGTGTAAATATTTGATGATCTGAGGAGAAATTTATCCTGACATTTAAACGAACAAAGTCAGCAAATCAGCAAACGCATCAAACTACAGTTAACATGCAGTCACATCTGTAAACATCAAACACACATGAAAATGTTTAATTTTACAGCTCCCAAAGATTTTAATCACAAAACATCTGGAAGACAATCATTTTAATCCCAACAGCAAAATAAATATTTACCTTTTATTAACAACAGTTATTAAAAAGCTATATCCTGAAAAAGGCTACAATCGTAGAAATGTTCACACTCTTTCCAAAAGTCTCAGTAACTAAAACATGATGATTTGTGTTGATACTAGTGTAGAGGAACAGAGAGTGCAGGTGAACAGTGAGTCCTAATGTAGATGAACTCTGAAACACCTCAGTGGTCCTAAGTTGTCAGTGACGTTCAGCTGAAATACCTCCAAACAACCAAATATCCTCGATACGATCAGATGACTGTCTGTGAAGCAAAGACCTGATCTGGATCTAATGCTGTGGTCATGTTGACTTACAATGAAAATGTCTGTGAAGCTTCTCAGTCATCCAGGTCATCGTAGTCAAGGAGCTTGGAAAGATCTGGGACTCTCCACCATTTGACCTTAGAACTGAAGAAGCTTCTCGGATGAGAGGTGAAACGTCTTCAAGCAACTTAAAGAAGTCCAGACGCTTTTCTTTGCAAGCTCCTTTGACTACCATGAAAATCTAACAGTGCCTCTGTAGAGTTTCACAATGAGGCGAGAACACTTTGCTTTAGTTTTATGTTCAGGATGAACTAAGGTGCTGCACCAAGAACCAAGATGAAGGATAAAGATCAGCTGAAGGTCCAGATACATCTCCCAGGTCCTGTTTCAGGAGTTTGCTGAATTTCTTCCCATTTCTTAAGGACATGACTTTCACATGCTGCCTCATCTGTGGGTGGGTTTTTTTTGTTTGTTTTTTTGTTTAAACTTGTCCTGTGGCCAGCTTTGCTCGGGTGGTGCAGGCAGCAGTGCTTTGATTCCTGGCTTCTATAGTTTTAAAGGACAAGATACCAAACCCTGAGTGTGAGAATGTCAGGTAAAAAAAACAAGTAGAAATGTGAGAATAAGAAGAGAATAGATTCATTCATTGTCACTATACAGTTGCTGTACAATGACACAGAGCATCTCCGACCCAGTGCGAACGTATGTGTGTGTGTGTGTGTGGGGGGTTCTTTTAAGATATAAACAGTATTAACAGGAACAAATATATAAAATGTACAAATATACAATCTGGTGTAACAACAGTAGATAAATAGAATTTGGGATTGCACAGTGGTGTAACTGTTACTGGTGCATGTGTGAGTTCAGGGTGGTTATGGCTTTAGGGAAGAAACTGTTTGAGTCTGTGGGTTTTTGTACTGATGCACCTGTAGCATCCCTGAGGAAGCAGGCTGAACATGTTGGGAAAACCCGAATGCTTTTGTCCACAGTCACATTTGCAATACAGAACTTGATATAGTCCAGTGCTCATCCTGTGAAAGGTTTTAGCTCCTGGTGTTCAAATATGTCCCAGTCTGTCTGTGTGAAGCAGTCCTGTAGCTTTCAGGCCAGGCTGTAACAGTCTTTGTGGTGGGCCTGGCACTGCGTCTGAGGGGGAGTAGGCTGGGGAGAGCAGGAGGGAGAGGTGGTCCGACTGGTCGTAGTGGGAGAGGGGTATGGCTCCATGTTGGAGTAAACATGATGTAGAGTGATCTCTCCCCTGGTGGGACATTTCACATGCTGATGGATCTTTGGGAGTAGTCTTCATGCTGACCTTATTAAAATCACCTGCAGTTACGTGAACACCGTCCCGCTGCTGTTGATGGTGTTCAGTAGCATAGAGAGCTCCGTGTTTACCGATAGAAACCGATAATACAAAAAGAAATGAGAAGGATGTACAAACTAAGCAACTAAAGAAAAGAAAAGAGTACTGAGACGGAGAGCTGCAAGCTGCTGCAACAGTGTGCGCCGCCATCTTGAGTGGTGTAGCAACAAAGTGCTTTGAGGGTCCAAACAGTAAAAAGGCTGCATAAGTACCATGTAAGACTTGATGTTGTACCAGGCTGCTGTTTTCATCCTGCTGACACTCTGATTTCAGAACAGATGTGAGCTGGTTCATCAGAAGGAAGATGATTGGATGAATTTCTGTTTGGCAATTTTGAAGCGATCACGAGAACAACAAGGAGGACAAGAAGTAACAACCCAGAAGCTACCAGCCCATAATGTCTGTTGACTTTATCCTGCTTCCCTCCATCCTCCTTCCTTACACCCTCCCTCCCTCCATCCTCCTTCCCTCCATCCTCCTTCCCTCCATCCTCTGTGTGTCCTCCTGTCTGACCTGCAGGTGAGAAACAGGTGTGAGGTGTCAGCTGTCAGGTAGGTGATGAGTGAAGAACAGAACAGAATCCATTTCCTCTTCAAACTGCTGTCAGACATTATCTACTGCACTCTGATCACATCACTCAGACCAGCTGCTTTCTACAAAGTCTCATCAACAACATCTTTAGAAACAAACATCAACAACCAGGAAGCAGCTTCACCTCTGATCACACACACACTCAACTCTACTCACTCACCTGGAGGATCAACAACACTCAGGGTGATGCTGCAGAGGATCTTCAAACCATCTGTACGTTTCTGGATGACACCACACTCGTATGTTCCAGCGTCATTAATCGTCACATTCTTCAGAATCAGAGACACGTCTCCATCCTTCATCTGTCTGTCCTGCAGAGCCACCCGGTTCTTAAAAGACGGATGCTGCTTGGTGGTATTAAATTTTTTGTCATAAAAAAGGACAGAGCTACCTTCCAAGTCTGGTTTGCTCCAGTCTAAAACTGTGATGTTGTTGTTTGGAGCTCGACATGTCAGAGTGATGTCCTGTCCAGACTCAGCTGTGATGTTTTTCTGGGCTGAAAGAGGAAACAACACAGAGCAGAGAGGTCACGAAGGTTAAAATGCAACTTTTCATTTCTAGAACAGTGATTATTGTGATGGGCTCCATCCAAAAACACTCAAAGAGAAACATGAAACATATGAGTCCAGCAGAATTTCAGGACCGTGTCAGCGTAACCTTAAACAATTGTTGTTTTTTTCACAGCGTTATTATTTTAGTTCGATGTTTTGCGCTGGTTTTCATTTTAATTTGGTTTCAAATGAATAACACACGTTAACAATTTTCATACTCGTTTTCAGTCATGATTTAAATGTCATTAAAATAATGGTTATTTTGCTGGTTATTGGTATCAATGCGCTTTTGCCGATACAAAAACACATATTTATTTCCCAGGTCAGGTCTTTTACACTTTACAGTTGTGATTGTGTTGTTGTTTGGAGCTCGACATGTCACATTGATGTTCTGTCCAGACACAGCTGGAAACAGCACAGATCAGAGAGGTTAAAGGTTAAAATGCAACTAGTCTCTTGTACAGCAGCCAAGCAGAGTGAAGATCAGTGACTCTCTCTGTCACTCCTATCAAAGAGTCTCAGGGCAACATTAATACAAGAAAGATTTTTTGAGAACAACATCGAAATTTCCACATTAAAGTCCAAATTATATTTCAAGGTCCAAGGCTATCCATGACTCCACGCTGATGTTTTTTCCTCAAACTTGTTAATGGATAATAAAAAGCAAAGCAGCTCGTTCGGTACATGTTAGAGTCTCTGCGTGTTGAAGAAGCTGCGACACCTCAATGTACAAAAATAGGAAAATACTTCCTAAACAATTCCCAAATCTGCCACAAGATGGCGATCCAGGACATGGAATAAAAGCATTGCTGCTCAGCCAGTTGCGTGTCAGTCAGTGTTGTTGATCTTGTCTGAATGGATGAAATTATGAACACAGAGAAGATCAGATTTTGATCCACCATGAAAGAATCTGATCGGTAACATCATCATTTTTCAGGCAATGATCCTGATCTTAATAGAAAAACACACGAGGGGAGGCCGGTCCGTGACTGATACCCACACGGCTTCAGCATTAATGATCATTTCCATGTAAATGTGAAGCGATTCAGACAGTTTCCTCCTGCTCACTGGGACAGGAAGTACAACCCTTTTTAAGACTAGCAGGAAAACCTCGGGCTCGTTTGTGACAGTGTTGCGTTTACTCGCTCCTTCTTCTGACGGATTTTCTAGTTTATAAAGTTTCGTTTTACCTCAGCCCTTAAAGAGATGGTAGAAACAACTTCCGAGCTTAAACTCTGCATTGTTAGAAGGTTTAACGAGGATATCCAGACGACTTAGAAGAAGTAGGACCGGGAGAGGACCAGGCCTCTGCTCTGCTTTAGAAGGTTCCGGAAAACCCCGCCCCCTTCTCTGACGTCACATTTTCCCGTCCCCGGTGCGGCACTTTTAAATCTCTTCAGAGTAAGTACAACACTGAGCGAACATCAGCACAGATGTGGAGTTTGTTTCACACATTTGTGTCCTGCTCACAGTGACAGCAGACTGCTCACGTAGTTTACACAGAGAGAAGAGCAGTGGAAGAGTCGCGGTGATACCGTAATCAAGTATAACTGTGTGTTGTCAGTGTAATGTAATGTGTACTTTATTAATCCAGTAGGAAATGAGTCCGCTGCATTTAACACATTCAGTCAGTGAAGCAGCGAGCGCCCCGGGAGCAGTGTGTACAGACGGTACCTTACTCAGGGATACTTCAGGGGCGGTGAAGCCCCGACCTTCCGATCATAACACAAGCACCCCACTGATCCATCTCTGCCACCACAGTGTGTTGTCAGTGTGTAGTTACAGTGGATCGCAGTGTGTTATGAGTGTGTAGTTACAGTGTAAAAAACAAAAACTCAGTTGAACTCACTTGAAGAGACAGCCGAGAGAAGGCAGGTGAAAATCACCGAGCAGCAGGCTGATGTCAGGTCCATTACTTGTACTTCTGTGGGTGCGCAGATCAGAGTGTTTCTAAAGTTCGCAGAAAAAAAGTTCCTGAAAAATTGATTTTACCCTAAAATTGTTGCCAAAGCCCGAACTGGTTGGCAGATGTGTCAGCGACCTGCTGCCAAAACCGTCGGTGGAACTGTGAGGTCCCTGAGTGGACGAAGGCGGAGAAAAGCGAGAAAATCAAGATTCCCGGACTAACCGGAAATAATACCGATGTCTGCTTTCAGAGTAAAGTTAAGTAAAATAAAGCCTTGGATAACTTCCTGCTGACTGACGAGGCAAAACTTTATTTTGAAGGAACTTGCGTCATCAATACGGAAACTGCAAGTGCAGGTTGTTTTAGCTTTCAGTCAAAATATTTTCCGCCCAACTTCCTCGTGTTGTGGGATCAAAAATGACCCCACATTTTATTTTCACTCGAAAACAAAACAACACAAACAAACCAGGGTATATTTTTATGTAAACAAGGTCTGGTGGTCCTTAATCGCAAAATGAAGGGGGGATTTTGTGGTAATGTGATGGTTTTAAGTAAAACTAAAGGTGTATGTACTTAAAAAAAGAAAAGAAAAGAGGTGGGTCGTTTTTGATCCAGAGGACAAGAGTATGGCAATCGGGAGGACATTATGAGGGTTAAAAGGGTCTTGTTGTCTATAATGTGTCAAAAATTGCTCTAATATATCTCTCTCATGAATGATAGCAACTGATGTATTTCCTTTATTTATCTGGGTAAAAGTGTCATTTATATTAAAAACGTCCTTTTAAAAAGAGATGTGGCCAAGATGGCGGGAGAAGTTGTAAGAACTATAACATTGCAGTCGTATGAGGATATTTAAGTCACCATAAAGGACTGATTTGATTGCAATGTGGAACAATTACAGTGTCATAAAGATACTTCAACAACAGCTCATTTCTTCATTGTATTTATAGCTCATTCAGAAATCATCTTCACTACAGTCTGTTTAAAAATATAAGAATATTAGAGAAAAACACTCAGAAACATCAGAAATGACTTTTTAGTCCAACACATAAATTTCTGGATTTCTAACAAACCCTTTCAGTCTAAATGTTAAATCCTTAGTTTGAATCAGTGAAGTAGAACATGATGTTTTTTTATATATATATGTTATCTGTTGTCCACATTGTAGAGGGTGACTTTGCCTGTAAACAGTAAAATGTGTACAGTCAGGTTAAAGTGGATTCAGCAGGTGGGGAGACTTAAAAGTTCTCAGCACAGGAAAATAATCACAGTCGTTTCTAATGTCAGTTAAAAAACCACTGAAGTAGCAGCTAGTTTCACAGTGAGTGGATGTTCAGGTTGCAAACTGTAGGCTCAGATAATCGTGTACTGTACATTAAATGATGCTTTTAAAGCAGTATTTTTAGATGGGTGTAGTTAAGTGACCAAAGCTAAATGAACATATTAATACAGACATACATTGGTGACCGTGCTTTAGGTTCATTTATTTATAGATGTCTGAATAATATATTGAGTTAAAGAGGAGTAAATACTACGTCCCTTTCAAACAGGAAGTGGTTTAATCTGGTCCACAGTGGGGTCAGAATATAATATTTGACATTTACAATCTGCAGAGTTTAATGTAGTTTGTTTGTCACGTTACTGATTTTACTTCTGATTCATGTTAGTTTGTTTTATGAGTTAAAAATAAAATTTGTTAGCTCAGTCTTTGTTCTTAAGACGTGCTGAAAAATCCTAATTAAAGTTGAATTCACCCTGAAACAAGACTTAATGAATTTTCACGTTTTCTTCTTTGTCGACTTTTTTCCAGCAAAGAAAATCAGCCGAGCTTCAAAGTTTGGTTCAATTTTAGGATAAATTCTAATGATCACTTTATAATGAGTTTGTATAACTGTGGTCACCTTGTGCTACTGACAGAAAACAAAAGACACACATGAATAAAGATTTAATATAAAATAAATTTACTGCATTGAAGTGTAGAGTCAACACAAAATAGAAGTGAAGACAAAATGGAGAAGTGTTAGTTTGGAGAAATCTCTCCTGCAGCATGAAACAGGAAGTGCTTCTTTTTCCACAGCTCTTTGGCAGCCTGACATTTTTTTTTATTTTCCATCTTAAAAATATTAATTTATAAAAGATCAGAAAACAAAAAAGAGCAGTGAACAGCAAACTTCTGACCGGCTGCAAATTAAGCTTTAATTTTGTGTGTTTGGTCTGATTCAACCTTCTATCAACCCTCCACTCTTCTTTATAGACAGTTTTTTTGGTCAGCTGTAAAACTGCATTTAGAGCCACACTGAAAATGTACATTTTTTTCTGTTTCATTTTTCTGATGTAACAATGATAAGATTGTTAAAAGGTAAATGAACTGGTTCTTATTGCTTTTTTACTTTACCTGAGCATTTAAAGCACTTTATACACATTTGTACAAGCGCTTTTTTCTATGGAACTTCTGTCTATCTAACATGAATACATGGAAATATATGTAGACATTAATAATAGTCTATATTTTACAAACCCCATTTCCAAAAACATTGGAAAACTTTCTAAAACTGCAATAAAAACTAAAATTTGTAATTTTGTAATTCACTTTAACTTTGATTTAACTGGCAAATTAACAGAGAAAAGATTTTCAGTGTTTTCAATAACAAACTCATTTCTATTTGACAAACACATTTAGAAATCGATGCCTGCAACCAGTGGCGGAGCGGGGGAGGGGGTGGCTTACTGGGCTTAAGCCCGGGTTGTTTTGTCAGAAGTAACCCCAGCTCAATTACTTCTAGGGTGTTTTCACAGCGATTTACCTTACAATCCCTTCGTGTCTCTGTGTACAGATTCCCTGGACCAACCCCTGTGTTACCCGAGTGATTGGAGTGTGAAGAGGAGCGTGAGGAGTGGATGGAGTGTGTGTGTGTGTGACTATCAGCGTCTTTCCCATTCGTGTGTGGACCCCCGGAGCCCGGCTTTCCCCTCACTTTTGTAAATAATCACCTGGTGTATCATAATAAAGACTCTTGTGCTTTCAAGACCTAGAGCCTGCGCGTGAGTCCGTTCAGTCCCGTTGTGACATAAGGAGCTTCTTTCAAAGAAAAAACTCTGGTAGTATTTTATATATTATGCTTTGTTGTTCAGTATATTTCTATGCGAAACAAGAGGAATTTCAATACACAGCAGGATATCCACAGTTTAAACCAGATATTTACATACACTTTATGGAAAACACAAGACCATTTTTTTACTGTACAACATCAATTTAGAGTAAACTTGTTTTGGATAAATAAATATTGAAATATCTTTTGAATTAGTTAAATGTCAGAATAAAGAGAGACTGAGCTTCTATTTTTTATCACTTTCATCAAATGTAGGAGTACATGTACACTAAGTTTATTAATTAATAAGAAAACTCCAGACGATTCCATTCTGAGCTGAAGAAGCTTCCGATAGGTTAGTAGAGTCCATGTGAGTAAATTGGTGGCACAGCTGTGGATGCATATAAGGCAAAACACAGAGCCTGTTTCTGTGACATGGGAAAATCAAGAGATATCAACCAAAACACCAGGAACAGAACTGTGGAGCTCCATAAGTGTGGCTCAGTTTGAATACAATTTGGTGCCATTTGCAATTAAGAAATACAGATAGTTTCTCTCTTTACTCTTAAAGTTAACAAATATGTTTTTTATATTTATCAATCTAAAAAAATAAACATTTAGTCTGATTTGATGTTACAATTAAAAAAGTGTTTGTGTTTTTATCTGAAGAGTACATAAATATCTGGTTTCAACTGTATATTTGATGATGTTGATGTTTGGCTTGATTGTCAGCACAAAGAGGAACAGAGACGGAGATGGAGAATAAGGACAGAATAGAGAGGGAACAAGAGCAGGTGAGACACACGTTAGTCAAATGGTTGTTTGCCAAAACTCATCAGAACATGTATCCAGTACCTAGTGTATCTTTTTAGGTTTGCTATTTTTCAAATTCTATATTTATTAAGTTAATGTGTCTTGTTTGCACAACAAGGCTAAATAATTATATAAACCTTTCTGAATCTAAATAGTGGACTTTGGTAGAATTAATAAATAAGTGTAGTGCAGGTCTATGATGATTTTGAGTGTTTTGATTCTGGTTCTGTCTTGATTAAGTCCTAAGTAGTCCTGTTTTAATTCCCAATCAGTTCTGGGTCTGGTTGAATTGGGGTTTAGTCCCTGTGTCTTGATACAGCCCTGATTTTGTTCTGCCTTGCTGCTTAACTAAAAAAAGGAGTTTAAGATGTCCTGCATATGTGATATATATTTTTTCCTATATGAAGCTATTCTTTTTTTTTTTTTAATGAAAGCACAGCCTAATAAATATCTCATTCACCCCTCCCCCCCAATCCCACATGCATACTACCCTTTAGGGCTAAGCCCCGGGTGTATAAAATGTCTGGCTCTGCCTCTGCCTGCAACACAGAGGTAAAATTCACCTTTGCTTTTAATTTCACATCTTAATTTTACTGAATATGAAGGACCTCATTTTTACAATTTTACGGATGGAAATTTTGAACAGACAAAACAAATCATGTTTTTTCAGTTTTCAAAGATTTTAATGATCAAACATCTTAAGTATATAAACTTCACTCCCAGCAGTAAAATACATATTTATTACAGTTTAATTAACCATCATTTTACCCTTTATTAACAACAGTTATTGTAAAGCTACATGCTGGATTCACATTCAACCACAGAAGAAACAAGGAGGCTCATGAAGATAATAAAAATATTCACACAATTTCCAAAAGTCTCCATAAATAAAACTCAATGATTTGTGTTGTTGTTGTTGTTGTAGAGGAACAAAGTGTGCAGGAGAACAGTGAGTCCTAATGTAGATGAACTGAGGAGCTGCACCAGGAGCCAGGATCAAAGATAAAGATGTTAAACTGTGAATTATTCAATAATCACAGTTTAAGATGATTGAAGTAAAGAGTCCACAGAGCTCAGTGCAGTTCCTCATCTAGAGAGCTGTTAGAGGCTCGTCTGTCTTTATGTGATGTGGACAAAGAGTGAATTATTGTTCCTGTGTTCTTATCATGATTCATGATGTGAGCATAAGTGAATCCAGGTTACAGAAAGACTCCCTGAGTGTGCTTCACTGGCTTTGAGTGCAGTTATTGTGTTATGTGGCAAACCTCGGCCTTTTCTCCTCTTTGGCTTCTTGACAGTCGTCCTTCCACTGAGACCATTTCTGAGGCTTCATGAACAGCAGATGATCAGCTGAAGGTCCACATGGATCTCTCAGGTCCTGAGTCACTTTCACATGCTGTTCATCTGCTGCTGATAGTTTTTCCTTTTAGGCCTGATGATTGTCCTGTGAGCAGCTGTGGCTCAGGAGGGTCGTCTACTGATTAGGTCAGGACAGCAGTTTGAATCCTGACACCTTAATCTGCAAGGACAAGAAACTGAACCCTGAGTTGGACCTGATGGATCCATCATAGTGTGAGGGTGTGACTCTCAGATTATACACACTTAGATAAAGGCACATGAGAGTCAGGCTTGTAGTAAGAAAGTGCTTACAGAGTAAAAAAAAATGGCTGCCGGTCCATGTAAGACTTGATGTTGTACGAGGCTGCTGTTGTCATCATCCTGACACTCTGATTTCAGAGCAGCTGTCATCTGGTTCATCAGAAGGAGGATTATTGGATAAATTCTTCTTTGGCAGTTTTGAAGTGATCACGAGAGCAACAACAACGAGCCCAAGAAGTAACAAACCAAGTAACAGCTCAAAACGTTCATTGACTACACTACACTGCTTTCTTGTTTGTATGAGGGAGGTCAAAGGCTGTTTATCGAGTAACTCCATTTTTCTGAATGAAAAGAAAGTGGAAATTATTGTCTTTGATAGCCACGTCCCTCGAGGACAACTAGCCGATATATTTGGGCCCCTTGCTACCTCCCTCTCTGATACAGTACGTAACTTAGGTGTTCTTTTGGAGAGCTCCTTTAAACTTCATTAACAAGTATCCTCTGTAGTACAGTCTAGCTTTTACCAACTACGACAAATCTCTAAGGCTAAGCATTACATACTGCAAATGGATCTTGATATACTTATACATGCATTTGTTACTTCAAAATTAGACTACTGCAAGTCCCTTTACCTGGGCCTCCAATCGCACCTTTTAGCTGGTACTAGAAGGTTTGATTCTATTACCCCGATCCTTGCTGCCCATCAAATATTGGATTGATTTTAAGATTTTATTGCTTATGTAGCCAGATGGGCTACTCGCCTTCCGTTTTTTTTTCTTCTCACATTCTTTCTCTCTCTCGCTCGCTCTACCACCCTCGCTCTCTTTCCGCTGCACTCGCTCCTTGTATCATGTGATTGGGTTAATTGGGAACCCACCTGCACATTGATTGCAGGGTGGCGCTAGCCCGTATAAAGCTAAGCCGATGTTTTGTTGGATTAATTCCTCCCGAGCTTCTGGTGCGATACAGCAGTAAATGCTGGCGTACTGCGACGGACTGATCAGCAAGAGCCGATTACATGACAGCTACAGCAGTCTGTTTTATTCTGCCATTGCGGAGAGAGGTGTTCGTGTTACCCCCCACCAATGAGAATATAGTGCCTCCGGTCCTGGGGCTTTTACTGCTGTACTCACCTCTCCATGGCAAATCGCCCAATCTAAATTGGAAGAGTGAACTGCCTTCTCAGCCGCTGTTGTGAGGACTCCTCCTCGGTGGAGCTTGTCTTGTCTTGTCTTGTCTTATCTTGTTTTTATTAAGTAGGCTTACCTTTTTTTGGGTTCGCCTGGTGTTCTATTTTACCCTGGACTGTTGCTCGTACCCACGCTTCTGTGATCGGGCTGAAGTGACTCTCTGCCCGAGTGTCGTGCTGGGACTCTAAATCGCCTGGGTGGCCGGTCTCAGCCGGTGGGGAGCCAGACCGGCCTACGCCTGAGAATAATTATTACCAGCACGAGTGGTAGTTTGACCCGTGGGGAATAAGCCTTTCCTGTGTTTGTGTGTGTGTGTGTGTGATTTCTTTTATTAGAGTGTGTTTTAGTCTTTTTATGATTTGTAGCGAGCCTGACGCTCAGTGTCCTCTTATTCTTTTAACATATTTTTCTGTGTTTTATTTCAGTGAAGGAGGACGAGCCAGTGGCCCTGGGACCTCAGGTGGTGGGTCGTTTTCACACTTTCTTTTGTACAGCACTGGATGGTCTGCAGTGATTCTTTTTGTGTGATTTCCTTTTGGTTCCACGGCTGCTGGTAAGTCCAAGTTCCACGATGGTTTTATTTTTACTGTAGGACACTGTCAATAATGATGCTACATCTTGACCTTTAATATTTTATTTATAAAATATTATTTATAATATTTTATTCATTTCTATAAATAAAACTGTTTTAATATTGGAAGCCAACCTGCCTCAGTGTGCATCCTTGAATCTGTGCGGTCTTCTTTTATTCCTTTTATCTATTTTTCTTAAATATATTTCCTCGGGGTGCAATTCCCCTGGGTGGCGTTGTCAATTTATTTTGTTCGTAACCCCGCCGACCACTTGGTCACACTTACATTCAAAATTCGTAAATAATATTGCTATTTAACTGAACTTCTCAGCATGTCTACTCCTAGGAGAGCACTTTGATAATCAAGTCAAATGCTCTTGCTGCAACCTAGGTCATGGCTGAAACCCAGAGGTGATCGTTGTCAGGGTTATATTTTTGGGTTGTCATTTATACTTAGAAATACATAATATCATGGTTCGGGGGTTGGGAAGCTCATCTTGTAATCGGAAGGTTGCCGGTTCGATGCCCTGCTCTGTCTGTCTTGGTTGTTGTGTCCTTGGGCAAGACATTTCACCTACCACCCACTGGTGGTGGCCAGAGGGGCCGATAGCACGATATGGTAGCCTGGCTTCTGTCAGTCTGCCCCAGGGCAGCTGTGGCTACAAATGTAGCTGCCTCCACCAGTGTGTGAATGTGAGAGTGAATGAATAGTGGAATTGTAAAGCGCTTTAAGGGTCTCAAAAAGCGCTATGTAAATGCAATTC